GTGTATATATTGCCATCCTGAGTGCTGGGGTACTTCTCTGTCCTTCTCTGGTATCACAACAATATACTCTCACTTGGGCACCATCATCTTGGTACCCCGGGGAATGCCAACTTATCATTTTTTTTACCAGCTATTTTAACTTAAAAATTTTTGTTTTGTGGAGACATGGTCTCGTGTAACTGAGGCTGGCTTCAAACTGAATACACAGAGATGACCTTTAGCTTCTGATGCTCTTCCTGCCTACCCTTCCCAAGTGCTGGGATTACAGGTATGACCCAGTTCCTCCTGCCAAACTTTATTTCAGTTTTTAAGACCCCAGTTTTTCCATTTGTGTCATAGACATACTCACGAATCATATAAAAAGGTTAAAGAAAAGCACTTAGCCTGGCTATGGTGTGCACTAAGTAGATGAAAATTCATTTTTTTTCCCAGACTGTTTCTTATGGCATTCTGAAGAACTTTCAAATTATTTTCAGATTAGGAACACCACGAACCTGTTGTCTGCTGTTCCGCAGACGCAGTGTTGCCCAAGGCAGACATGGTATCGGCCTGCATGTGACTTACAGTTGGAGGGAAGGACTGACACCATATGTGACCAGCATTGCAAATGTTTATTTGAGAGTTTTCTAATAGAGGGTGAGTAGTCTGGGGGCTATCGGGTAAACTGAGGCCTGCCCAAGCCAGCTCGTATATCATTTGAAGCAGTTTTTAATCCTATGAGAAACAAGAGTTTCAAGTTCAAATGGATGGTGTCTTTACTCGGGTTTCTATTTCTGTGAAAAAGGCTGTAGCTGAACTTGGGGAGGAAAGGGTTTATTTCATCTTCCACTTTCAGGTCACAGACGTCCATCGCTGAGGGAAGTGAAGGCAGGAGCTCAAAGCAGGAACTGAAACAGGCCAGGTGCTGCTTACTGGCCTGGTCCTCAAAGCTTGCTCAGCTTGCTTTCTTATAGAACCCAGGACCAACTGCCCAATCCACAGTGGGCGAGACATTCTTACACCAATCATTAGCCCCCCCCCAAAATAATAATTCTTGACAAATTTGTCTGCAGGCCAATATTAAGGAGCCATTTTCTCAGTTGAGCGACTCTGTTCTCAAGTAACTCCAGCTTCCCTCAAGAAGAAATAAAACTAGCCAACACAGATGGAAGGACAGGATATCACATAAGGCCCAACAAAGATAACTTGAGCAGAGCAGCCGCTATCACAGGACAGCACAGCAAGCAAATCACACGACTGGCAGGGCCGCAGGTCTCTTGTTTACTTCATTCCTAACAATCAATACATTTCATTGTCTCTTTCTAAACCAGCAACGTTGTGGCTTTTCCTGCGGCGTAGATTCACCAGAGCACTGATCAATTCTCTGCTTCTGTGAAGAGTGTTTCTCATGCACAGCACACGGCACAGCTGTGCTCTCTCCATTGCTTGGTGGCTGTGAGGTGCATCACATTAACATTCTCAAGCCAGCCAAGCATAACCGAGTAGGTGTGGCGGGATCTGACAGGATGCATTTGTTACTACAAAATGAGTCTTTGTGGAAGGGTTTGCTCTGACAGACCTGCAAAGGAAAAGCCCCCGGTGAGATTCAGGATAAACCGCAGAGGGTTCCATTTCTACCCACAGCTTAGAAAATTCATTTGCCATATGTGTCTCCAGGAGAGACCATTTCCTGTAGTCTATCCATTTAGAAGACATTTTTAATAAGCAACAAATGTGTGTGTTAGAAGGCCGGCCTCTGAGGGCTTGCTAAACCATGACAGAGTGCTGTCATGAACAAAAGGGGCATTCAGACTTCCGAGATGAGTGTTCTTCTCATGGTATCCTCCTGATGGCGGCAGACAGTGGGAGCCCGAGAGTAAACAGTCTTCACCCTCTGTCTAAAGGCAGACAATAACAGATGCATGGCTCCCTAGGAAGTAAGATGTGAAAATCCACAAACTAATTTGATAATTCATTTAATATGATCATTAGACACTGCCTCTTGAGGGTAGTATAAGGGGACTTCTAAGTTTGCTTCCTAAACAATATTCATCTAGTTTGGAAAATCGCAACTTTTTATTTTCTGCTTTCTCAGCATACTTGTATTAAAATCACACAATTACCACACCTTCGTTGGGTTACATATATGTTTCATAAACTTAGGATTTTTTAAAAGATCCTAACCCTGAACTCATGTAAAGATGACAGCAGGAAACTCCTTTCTCTCAGTGTAGATTTACACACATGAACAAAACAAACAAAAGAATTTAAAAAGCTATCTAAAGAGTGGATAAAAAAGATGTGGTACATTTACACAATGTAGTACCACGCAGCGGAAAAAGATAACAGCATCTTGAAATTTGCGGGCAAATGGATGGATCGAGAAAACATCCTATTGAGTGAGGTAACCCAGACCCAGAAAAACAAATATAATATGTACTCACTCATAAGTGGCTTTTAGACATAAAGCGAAGAAAAGCCAGCCTATAATTCACAATCCCAGAGAACCTAGACAACAAACAACATGGGAAGTAGAAAAAGACAAGATCTCCTGGGTAAATTGGGAGTATGGGGATCATGGGGGAGGGTTGTAAGGGAGGGGGAGAGGAAGAAAGGGGAGCGGAAAAATATATAGCTCAATCAAAACAACTTAAAAAAAGAAACTTGGCCGGAGGGGACAACCTTACTATTACAGTTAGATACTGATGCCTTGGTAAGAAGGAAGGATTCACAGATTTTGAAAGCAACACTGTATAGATATGAGATTAGGGAGATTTGGGATAACATTATTTTTGTACTAAGAATTTGAACTCAGGGCCTCAAGCATGCTGGCAAGTGCTCTTCCACTGAGCTTTTTTTAAAACTGGATCTTGCTAACTCCCCTAAATGGACTTGAGCAGGGGATGTTCTTGTCTACTCTAGGAGTACAGACATGAACAAACACACATAAATAAAATGTTTTTATTTTAAAAAAGAGAAAGCTTCTCTAAGATATATAGTTTGGTGAACACTTGACACTGACTGTAACATTTGGGGCGTGGTTTAGCTGCATGTAACAGATCATATGTAAGAACAGAGGTCAGAGCAAAGTAGATGACTCCTCGCTTACTAGCAAGTATACTTTTGGTGCTTTTATAGTCGAGATAATTTCTGTCCATATATTTCATCATAGCTTTATCTCCTATTTTTAAGGTTGCTTCCAGATACAAAATTGCTTCTGAGATTCAAATAATTGCTTCTATATCCTTGGGTTTAGGAAAGATGCAGGCAGGGCCATACTGCTTTTATGTTTCCATAATACTCCAGAACTTCTGTGACATTAGATTATCTTGGTTTGTATCTAGTGTTACACTCTGCTTTAAGGAAGGTAGAGACATTTTAGCTAGATACCTAAGTGTACCAAATAAAAGCTAGAAACTATTAATGAAAACGGAGATAACATTGGCCAGACTCCTAGCAGGGTTTGCCACAAATGATTTTCTCCGATACACTATTTTCTTAAATTATGTAATAATGTATGTATACATGTATGAGAATTTATGCATTTTATCTCTGTGTATGCATAATGTACATATAAGCAGTTCATAGAATTGTGTAAAATAAAAGGCCAATATTGATCATCGTTAGGAAGCACAATGTGTTAAGAGATCAGCTGTATCATTAAATATAAACATCTCAACAATTTTAAGAATAATGCAAGCTTTTGACCTCAAATATTCCCCATGTGCTTGCATGCATACGTAAGTTTATACACACAATATATGTGAAGCTGTACATACACACACACACACACGTTCATACATACATTGGCTCACATGACTCATTTGTTCATAAGCACAAGTACTAGTCATTATAACTGGAATGGTAAACATCCCTCTGCTAGAAATACTATCTGAATAGATGAACAGAGATAATAATTTAATATGCTAATGGATTAGACAGAAGCGCATCTAAGCTATTTTTCAAGAACATATACTGACATATATTGAAGTGCTTCATTTTTGTGGGTGCCAACATCACTCTTTCCCTTTACAGAGGCTGAAATGAGTGGTTAAAGTAAGAGGTAGGCGATGCCTTCCCCTGAGCTAAAGGAAAAAATGCAGCCCTCTCAAAGGCTGCCTCCAACCCAGAGCAAGAGTGCTTGTTTTTCCTAAGCACTTTCTGGAGCAGTCACAGTGACCCCTGTCGCCTCACTCCCCTCTGGGATTAACTTGATCTTTAACAGCTCTCTGTACCAGGAGCTGGAAAATAGAGGTTTAACACAGTGGGGAGTGAGATGTACTGAGAGATTTTGAACACCAGGGCAATCAAACAACCGTTGGGTTGAGGAGTGGAAGCTAGTTGTATCGGAATGGATGGCATCCAAGTATGAGCTTACATGGCAGGGAATTCCATGCACTTGAAATACACCCCGACGAAATGCCAGCCTGACATTTACAGGTGCCATATCCTTAAGCGATCCGGTGATTATCTGTGGCCCCGCAGAGCTGCTTTCTTTCATGGTTATGTAATACCCTGGTGTGGCTTGGATGACTACGAAGTGTTGCCAATTTAGCAAACATCTTGAAAGGAAATTAATCTTGATTTCCATGGACATCGGAACAGTTTCCTCTTTGGCTGTAATGGGGAATCCAGCCATTTCCAATACTGGCAAGAGTAGCAATTCCCTGTGGGGATGAAACAAATTATGCCTGGACTACTCCCAAAGAACAGTATTCAGTAGTATCTCAAGCACTGTATATACATTGCCTAATGAACCCAATAAGGCATACTGCACTACTAGATTCAGTGGGGGATGAAGTACAATGGTAGTAAGATAACCTGAGTTCTCTGGGCTGGTGAGTGGGAAGTAAACTGGGAACTTTCACCCTGGGCTTAGTGTGTGGCACTGCCCTCCTCAGAGGCCAAGTTCCAGTCGGAGATCTAAGTCAGGAGATAAGGTAAGCTGTTTAAGAAATATTTATGGAAAGGACTTGTGGGGATAGGAGAGAAAATAAATCGCTCCCTCTTCTCATCTTTAGAATGATGCGGTTGGGAAAGCAGAAAAGAAATCCTTGTATTGAGTTGGGCAGTGGAACGTGTCCGCATGAAAGCAGATGCGGATCACAACATTCTTTTCGAAGAAAGGAGCTGCAAGTTTTCCATTTACGATGTCTTCTGGTCTTAGCTCTGGCGGTCCCTGCTGCCGCTGTCCCAGAATGAATTCCCCAGTGGAAACACCGACACGGTAGGCATTGTTCATCTAAGAATAGAACGATAGATGTGGAACACTTTGAAGGGAAAGTGCAATATGCTAGACCCAAGTGCCGATGAGGTGAAAGTAGCCGAGGTTTCATCCTCTGGTGTAACGGAGCAGGCATGGTCACAGATCTTCCTTTGTGTCTGTTCTGATGTGCAGGAACTGGGCAACAACTGGGGTGGTTGATTTGGTCTTTGCTTTTCTATGTGAGAATGTGCATATCCAGTGTGTTTTGGACAAGTGTTTAGAAGGCAGATTAGTCCTCACGGGGCAAGGTATGCTGTCTTACCTTAGCTGATAAAGAGAACACTGAACCATGCCCTATACAAAAATGGTTTGATAGGAACAGACGCAGTAGTAGACACTTTTGTCGACTTAATGGAATATTAATATGGTAAGTTCTTCTTCCTTGACTTCACATCAGATGCCAGTGAGGGCCAGAAGTCTCACCAATTTTGCACAGTAAGATGAAAATATGGGACAATTAATGTCTTATGGGAAACTCCCAGTCAAAGAGAATCATGGGCCAATGGCTAATGACTATTGTGTGCTTGTTGGGCAAGCAGCAGCAGAGTGCCTTTTATTTTTCTCCTTTCAAGGTTCCTACAAAAGCAAACCCAGCTGCCTATGGATGGTCAGTACCACGTATGCTTCTTGACTGAACTTCTCTCTTTTCCTATTTGATTCATCATAGGATTTCATTCCTGTATTCCAGGAGATATATTATCTTTCTAAAATAAATATCTTAAAGTGCATTTTGAAGTTCAGTTTCAGTTCTGAGGTGAATGCGAATTGACAGAGTGGCGTGTCAAGAAAGGAGAATTGCACACTACTGCGAGATGAAAGGCGGCATTTGTCCGGGTGCAGTGTTGGCACTTAACATGGTTTCATCTCCTCTGCCAGAACCTGAAGACGAGAATCTTGGAGGCTGTCAGGAGAAAGGTCAAGTTCATCATAGGGGAACCCACAGAGACGACTAACCCAGAATCATAGGAGCTCACAGACACTGGCCCAACAGCTAAGGAGCCCAAATGGGCCTTACCTAGGCCTTCTACATATTTGTGACAGTTGTATGGCTTGGTCTCCTTGTGGGACTCAGCAGTGGCAGTGGGACCTGTCCGTCATGCTTTGGCAGGTTTTCCTAGTACAGGGTTGCCTTACCAAGCCTTAATCTGAGGTGAGAAGCTTAGTCCCACCTCAACTTGATATGCCATGCTTTGTTGACACTCGTGGGAGCCTGCCTCTGAATAGATAGACACAGAGAAGAGGATTGTGGAGGGTCAGAGAGGAAGTGGGGGAGGGAATGGAAGGAGAAGAGGAAGGGGGAAGCCATGGTAGGAATGTAAAATAAATGAATCAATTTAATTAATAAAAAAGGCATTTTTACAGATTCAAAGCAAGGAGGGTGAAGAAGTCTTAGGAGACACTTGTCTCATCTCGTGTTTCTTCCTCTACAGCCTATCATAAAGCATATTCATCTTTTATCAGATCCAGGAGAGTTTTCTAAATTCTGTTCTCACTACTTCAATCACAGTGCTTAGCTTTCACAAGTTACTCCCTGTGGCTCCCAGAGACATATTGATATAAAACCTCTCCATATTTCCAAGGCCTTCATCATCCAGATCGTACTATATCAAGCACAGTTTTCTTCCTTGCTATTGACTGTGTCCCTAACTTCATTTCTTGAAATTAATGGGCAGTGCTTGAAGGCTGATTAGATGGGGTAAGCCCTAAAGAGTAACAATGGTACTCCAGTGAAGAGGACCCCAGAGAGCTAGCTGGTTTTCCTGACTGTGCAAGAAGATGGCTTATGAACAGGAATACAGCCTCCATCCGAGCTGAGTCTGCTGGCGCTGCCCCTTGAACTTTCCACTTGCCAAGCCATTCAGAAGTTTCTGTTGCTTTTTTAGGTCCTGAAGCTGGCACCCACCCCCACACTATTCCCTTCCCTACTTTTCCTGTTGCATGTTCCCTATTCTTTAGGCTCCTATATGAATAACTTTCCCTCTGAGAGTTGACATCTTGACCACTCATTTAAAATAACGCCATTCTAGCTAGTCTATATGTTTCATTTATGCTTTTTAAATTCCCCTCAGAAGCCTAAAATTGTGTCTTAAAAAGTGAAATAATGTTTTTGGTTTACTTATGTCAATAATTGGTACACTCTGTGAGGTCAGGAATGTTTGCGTGTTTGGAGGCAGAGTTTCTCTGTGTAGAGGTCAGGATTCTTACTGGGCTTGGAATGTTTACATCTCTAACGCCTGTCCCCAGTGTGGCTCCTTTGCGGGACATATTCATCTTGAGAAATTTTCTGCACAGACACATCCAGGGTATTCTTCTTACTCACATTTAGGGAAAAAGGCCTGAGAAATTGTGTTTTTCTTCCACATTTAATAATCCATAAGGACATTTCATCTTTAGATCCCTAGCAGAGACCTGGAGAAGGGGGTAAACTATAGTGTATCTTTGAGTGACTACTTGGTGATGTTCTATAAATCTCCATTTCTTATTCCAGATGAGCAGTTTTACTTTTCAAGAAGAAAACAAAACTGAGTCATATCCTAGTAATCAAATTTATTGCATTAAATTGCATTTTTTCAATAGCTTTTATATAATTGGGATGCATTTGTCTGAGAAGCATAAGGCTTTCATGGGAAAGGACAAGACTTTAATTCCACCCACCTTATTGTACTCTGCCTGTTCATCAAAGTGACACTACTGACTTCTAATATTACTATGCCATACAGACAATGACATTTCTAGGATACATTAGGTTTTCACCCTTTAACTCATTCTCTTCCCAAGCTATATATTATACATAACATCTATTGTCTCAATTCCTTTAAAAGATTTTATACACATACACACACACACATATGTATATTAAAAACTTCAGTGCTTTTCAGTCCCGGAGTTTTCCTTATTCCATCTTCAACTGTATTATACACTTAATTAACATTTTTAATTGAAATTTTTTTTATAAAATATATTTGATCATGCCTTTGCCTCTCCAACCCCTCCCAGATAGTTCCCACCCACCTAATTTACTTGTCTCTTCAAAAAACAAATAAAAACCACACATGCATTAACACTCATACACATACACACACACATACATACACACACCACGTGCAAACACACACACATGCATACTAAGCCCCCAAAATGGACACCAAATAAACAAGTAAACAACCATTAAGACATGTGTGTTGTTCCTTACATTTTTTCTTTCTTTTTTTTTCAAATTACGATTTTTGTTATTGTTGTTTATTTACCTGTTTGGTTCCTAAAGAGAGACAAAAAAGGTTGTGTGTGGAGCTGGGTGGGTGGAAAGGTGGGAAGAATCTAGGAAGGATGGGGAAGGGGAACCATGATCAAAATATATTGTATGAAAATTTTTAGTAAAATAAAAATTATAAAAATGCCCAAACAAAGCAATATGATACAAAAATACGTTGAAGATTTTTTTTTTGTGTGTTCCCCGAGTACTCCTGACATAGGCTTGCCCTGATCTGTGGTTACTATGCCCAATGAGACTCCATTGGAAAAAAAATCTAAATTTTCTTTTTTAAGCTAGCTTCAACTTTATATTTGTCACATTAGGATATAGTACCTGGCTTTTAAATGTGCCACATCAGGCTTGATGGGTTTGTTGAATTTTTATGACTGAGATGTAGCACTGTGTGCTCAGTTTGGTAGGATTTTTCTAAAACTGTGTACCAACTACAACCTGCTACTAGTGCCAACAAAGCAAGCTTTCTTTTCCATTTTCACGATGAAAATCAGATGAAACATGGAGTCATGTTGAATAGCTCTCAAAAAGATCTGTCTGTATTATTATTGATGTGTGTGCATGTGTGAGCATCTGTGGGTATACACCCCTGTGTGCAGACTTCGGTTGATGCCAGAGGAAGGCATCGGACCTTCTGGAGCTGGGGTTCGAGTAAGTTGTGAGCCACTCTATGTGGTTCTTGAGAAGTGAGTGCAGATCATCTGGGAAGAAAAGCAAGTATCCATCCCTGCTCAACCTCATCCTCAAACCCTTATTGATCAAGTGCCATTATCAACTACTCTTTATTACTTCTGAAAACATTTGCAGGTGTTGAGCTATCAAAGCTATCCTGAAATTATTAGTTTTATTCCTTAAAGTAGCCTTATATTACGGCATCTTGTTACCTTTTCAGTTTAGTCTTTCTAGTACTCATACACATCAATAAAATCACAATCGCCTTCCCAAGTGGCATTTTCCCCCTCTTTTGCTTTCTGCAATATAATTTTTGAGTATTTTTAATCTGTGCACTTTACATTGAAGGCTGATTAAGGGCATTGTAAATTGTCTGAAGCCACGGATGCTATTTTTAGATATCTATTTTTATTTTTGATTTATCTCAGCTCTTGCTTCACTCCGGGTGCCTTTTCAGGACTTCATTAAATATGTGTGCTGCTGCCTCAATAAGGTGCCTCAAACGTCTATCAGGAAAAGTCATCTGAGGCTCAAAGCTCACAGGAGAATTTTAAGCCGCTGATGGCTCGCTATATTGAGGGCAACATCGTCTAAGAGCTGAACTTGTGGCAATTCTGAAAAAAGGCACAGTGGGGAGCTGTAATGACTATATAACTCTCTGACTTAAAATATGGTTTGCTGGCCCCAGGCTGCGAGAGTCTATGAAAGCAAATCTCAGGAAAAATTCTCTCACCTGCCGGGGAGGCACTCAGGAGGGGGAATCGCCTTAGAGTCTGTTATTTCTGCCTTTTCTGCATCTCCTTCCCCCTTTTAAAGCAACAGTGGCCTCAGGTTTATGTGAGGACCTTAATTTGGAGGCTCAAAGTTAACTTTGTCTGGCGTGAACAGATGTTACTCTTGTAGCGACAGTGTCTAGGACAGAACTAGCATGTGAACAGGGCAGGCTGACTGGAATGGATGCAGAGCCTCTGCCACAATTCTCAGGAGCATACTCTCTTTCTCCTGGGACTTATAAAGGAAAGAG